GACTAAAGTCAAACAAAATATACTTCTAGGTGTTGCGGCACCGAGAAAAGACTAGAAAAATGAAAATTGTAAAGAAGAAAATTCAACGAGGCTATATAGCAGGCCGCGCTGGGAAAACGAGTTCTTTTGGTGTAAATTTCAACGTTAAAAAATATTGATATCGAACCGGACGAATCAGGGGCACCTGGGCGAATATATACACACCTTAGAAGATCAGCAAATAGATCAGTAATAGATACCGAAAAACAGTCKAACAAAACAAAGCGGAGATTTTCAGCGCGTTTTATGTTACTTTGARGAACTGGATTTAACAGCAGGAGGTATCATACCATTTTTAAATTGTACAAAAAAAAAAAATAAATGTCATTACTTAAGTGATTCTTTTTCCAAAAACAAAAACAAAAACAAAAACAAAAACAAAAACAAGAAGATAAAATGTTATTACTTAAGTGACCCGGCTTCCTACAACACACACACACGCACACAAGTTTGCAAGTAAGCCCAAGTAGGTTCTTATTGTAGATGGTGTTCAGATATCWTAAATGATTTTTACTTTAGTAAAGTAAGTAGCAGGCGTCAGGCATTTGAAATAAGTAGAAGTGGGTAGATCAAGTCTTTCGTGAGGGCGAGAGTTATTAGCTTACTGGATTACGCAACTATATACTTGATAATTGATCTATTTATGTACCATTTACTCTTAACTACTTAGGACTTGTCTAGACGGCTTCGTAGAAAAGGTAAAATGAAACTAAGGAAATACTTCTAAAAGATGAGTTTTTAGAAGGAAGGCGTGGCAACGGAAGACTTTTACCCACAATGAATGCCATTTCATTAAAAAAAATTCAATGAATGGCTTCTATATTATTGTAAGTGTAAAATATACCAGATTAGACTTTTACCTTTTAGACACGCCATAATAAGATACGACAATCATTAGTGTCTGTTTCCAACCTCCTACGCAATTTATTCGGCCCTCGTTGCCAGGAATAAGCAAACCTAAATCAAGTGAGTTCAAGATGTTTTTGTGTTTGGTCTGTTTTCAAACGAAAACTTTCACAATCCTAACATCTGCCATGATAGCAGTAGTGAGGGGCGTTGATCAGTGAGTGAGTGTGTTTTTTAGGAGAAACATTTAGATAATCAAGGATTAAGAAAAATATCAACTCTCTCCTAGTAAATTTAATTCAAGAAAGGTTTTCAGGGAGAACGGCGAATGCTCGACCGAAAGGGTATTAATTATTGACAGAAGTACATAACCAGAAGTATTCATCTCGCTAATAATATCGTCACCATCGTGAGATGTCCCGATAATCTATTTTTAGACAACCAATCATAACGCGCGCACATATAAAACGGCACCTGATTGGTCTTTGTTGATATTTTCTCAAAAGCGGACAAGAAAAGAAAATTTAGTCGATGGAGTTGAACGAAGTGAAGTTTGCATTACGAGAATTTTACATCTTTTGCGGAACAACCATTTCTAGAACGAGCAAAAATGCATATCGGTCTTCAATGTCAAATACACTATCACCAGTATTCAACGTTTTCTAAAAAATAGCTGTGTTATCTCAACAGTTCCACAGTCGGAAAACAGTGATGAATGACAGGTGATACATGGCTGATGGCCTTTCTCTCTTTTGTAAAGCAATTAGTTCCAACTATTTTACTAGATTTTCAAAGAAAAGTAAAACTGAGTAGTAGTCAATGAACATATGGCATAATTTGTAAATGTCTTTTTAAAAAAGCTATCTTTGATGAGAATTGTTGATAAAGAAATCAATAGTAAAGTTGGTAAAGTAGTAAAAGCCTTTTTGTGTTGTTTAAACTAGTGAGTTAAAATCTCAAAATGTCAATGACTCGTGTTTACAAACCTGCAGCATTTTGAATACTTTACTGAAATACTTAAAAATTACAGACATATAGTGTTTGTTTTATGCTCTCTTTTTATTGAAGTGTGTTAATAACAAAGCAAACAGGAAGACGTTGAAACAGTTATCTTTATTGGAGGATTTATATCAGTGGCCCACGCGCTGTTATAGAGCTTCCCCAGAAACTGAGCCATTTGCAAATGCGGTATTATTCTACCGTAACTACGTGGTTGCGTATTAAGAAGCGCGACGTATCGCATGTCGTTTTTAGGATTTTAGCTTACATGCAGTGCGATTCTGTCAAGTCTTGTATGACATTTCAGTCGTAAATCGGCCTGCAGACGAATATCACATTTATCGACTTCAAAACACGTCAGTTGTAACGTTTGAAAAGAAACTTTCAAATCTATTTGTTCCATTTCAAATACTCCTACATCAAATGAGTTTCCTATAGTGACGAAAGAATATTCTTGAGACATTTTATCAATAAGGCGAATAGAAATATGACAGTGTGCCAACAGCCTTAAGCAATGGAGTAATTTCCATTCGATTCGGAATTGAAACGTGTAATGTTCGTCGTCTGAATTCGCCCGATCAGTAAAAAAAAAAAAAAACAATTGTGATTATCATTTTACGAAAGAAAACGTGCAAAAAACGTCCTGACAGTTGTTTTAAGTTATCATACGTCTCGCCTACCATATCAGAATATAATGATGATACTATCTTTCTGGTTTTATTAGTTTTTCAAGGAGGGTTTCAGTACAGACGGGAAAAAAAGCGCAGGGCTAAAAGCTATTACGAACATTTTTAATTATCTGGGGTATAAGTGTGCTGAAAAAGAGCATGTAATTGAATAACATGATAGATAACCATATCAGCATTCAAATTAAAAACAAATTTGTTTTTTTTTTTTCTCTTAAAATATAATAAATGTAGAACGGTTTACGGTTGGAAAATGAGATGTTAACATGGCCGTTTTACTGAAAGCAATCAAATAATGCCCTACCTAGAAATCAGTTATCTGAAGCCTTGTTGCTTCTCCAGCTTTAGTCAACAGTTATAATTCGACGATTTTCCAAAAGCCTTTTTCAGAGGTTGGTAATCCGTGGAGTATCAAACGACGACTTGGAAGTGAATGATAAATTTTCTTCGTGAAGATCAGAAGGCGGTCTGCTCGCGCAGATTTAAGAACGCAGTTGTAATGGATCCTTGTTAATGAATGCTCCTCACTTTCAGAAACGACTCTTAAAGAAAAGACAACACACAAACAACTTATTCACAACTTAACAGATGTTCAACAAGATATTACACAAAATAAACCAATCAAAATATGCCTGCACGTCGTTATGGTAATAATATTGAAAATGGCCTTGGCAGTAGTTTTCCTGACTACGATAAAGAGAATTCGTTAAAATCCAATTTTTTTAAACATCTCGAGCAAAAATCCGTAAACCAAGAAAACAAGCAAAACATGATAATGAGGTCTAATGGCGACTTTTACACCGAGCAGATTTTGAGTCAATTTGTGTCAATTTTGTSTCAACTTGTAATCTTTTTGTGTGTTTTTTTTTTGTAAAGAGCCTTTTTTTTTAAAGAGCCGAACTTTATAAAAAGCTACCTTTTCTTACGAGACAGCCTAATGTAATATTGCTACTTAGAGATTAAAAGACACAGCTTAATTCAAGCAAGATTTAATTTTTTAATCCATATATTTTTTTAAGTGCATGTGATAAGCTTTGTTTTCGTTGATTATTTCGAGGGCACGCAAATCTCTCATTTATACAATATTATTTGTTTGATAAAATAGCTCAAAACATTACCAACATTAGGCCAAAACATGTGAAAACTACACCCCAGTGGCCTGAATCATACCGTGCGCGATCGTCACGCCTAAATAGCTTGAACTTATGAACAGTTCATCGTACGGCGCAACTGTAGCACGGCAGCGACACGGCAAATTCCAGTCGTGCTGCACTTCAAAATATCGATGATTCGCGTTATCGCGTGCCGAAGAACTTAATGCACAAACATGTCTCTTTTTCGGATGCAATGCAATAACGCGTTATAAGAACTTTTCTTGTGCTTTGAACTCTATTTCGATCGACGTATTGAATCAACGCTGTACCAAATGTATTTGGGTCAACAAAAATCATGACTATTTGGTTCAGCAAAATGATAGCATACCACTGGCCTAAGCCGTTCCTCTAGGTGTCAAGGCCTTAATTTTATATAAACTCTTTTTGCATTTTGAAGTGGCACCTTTGGTTAATGATGTTTTACCTCTATAGTGCACTTGTCGCTCAAGCAATTACATCTAGAAGTAGAGAAGGACCTTCTAGAAATGGTTTTGAATGACAATATTGTTGAATTTCTTGCTTAATTTCGTTCTTTTGTTTTCGGTGTCATGTTTTTTCCTTGCTCATTTGTTTGTATTGTATTACAATATTTGTTTTTTAACTTTCTTCTTTGTCTGCTTGCTTTATTATTTCTGTGTCTTGTTTATAGATGAGGTSGAAGAATGCTGCTTTATTAAAGAGTATGCTTGTTCGTTAAAGAGCGATTAAAACCCGGATTAAAATCTTTAGATTCATTCAAAGACAGTTTCATATAATCCTTCGCTTTCATAGAAATACGTGATCTGTAGCTTGATATATGTACTTTGTATATAGCAGTGTCACTTATGACATGATCTTGATCCAGGTGCTTCCTTGTACATTTGACCCATCAGTTAGGATATAACAACCTGCGCTCTAAATACTTATTGAAAACGCTGATCAATACGCGTCTTCGTGCAGTCTATGTACAACAATATTAGCAAGCCCGGGAAAAAAAAGACAGTTGTTGCGCTAGGCGGCTGCACGATTCTCGATAAATATGAATTGAACTTCTGCATGCGTCAACTTTTAGCATTAATAAATATATATTTTTTCTTTTTATTCTTTGAATGAATTATTTTCAAGACATTGACAAAAAGACCTATTGAGTGGAAGGTATATTTCTTGAGAATGACTGCGTGAAACTTTCAAAAACAAACAACGTCAAATTGAATTTCATTTAAGTTATAGGAATCGAGGAAAAACAGGCTAGTGGATTTATTAGTGCGAATTAAAGCGGAAAGAGCGGGCGGAAAATATTAAAATTGACTCGCAATAAATCTAATCGTAAAAGCGAAATAAAACCTCTGCAGTTGAAGGAAGTCGTAGAAAGGTAACATGAATCAGTTGAAATGGAAACTGGGAATAGAAATCAAAACAAAAAAATGATGCAATCAGTTACATCGTTACCAAAAACATGAATGAAAGATAATTTTAAATAGTTATGAGTAAATAAGATGAATATTGATTAATAGAAAATAATCGATAGAAAATATTGATATCAAAAGTGAGTATAATTATTCAGGATATTTAAGTATAAACAATGAAAATAGAAATAATGGGAAAATCGCACCGATACGTTCGACTACGTTTATTAAWGGCGTTATTCTACTTATGTGATTATAATTATTATTATTCATTGAATATTTAGTTATTATTATCATTGCATAATAACATTAGACGATATTTGTGAATGAMATATCGAATGTTTATATTAATAGTGAAGAATCGTAATAAATAAATACAAACTGTGAATTAAGGTAATTTTCATTTTCTGTTCCTACATATTTGAAAGTGTACTTAAATCCGCAGTAAGAACAGATTCGCACTCTTTTAAGTGATCTAATTGTGTACAAAAGACATAGGACTTCCTGCCAAGTATTTATCTTTGAGAGACTTCGTATTATTAGGTCAGACATAATTACTTTCGAATTCTAACTTACTCATCATTTATCTCACAGCTTGCTTTGAAACARACTATTCGCTTCCCTCCAAGATGTTTGGCTCAAATTCCATCCTCTCTTTTTTAGCATAATATTGTTATTTTTATAGCTTCGCTCTGAATTTCATATAAAAGAAAATTGTTTTCTTTAAATAAAAGCGACCTTAATGTGATGCAATGTGAAAACACGGTCGCCATGATGAAGAAACATCGGAATTAGAATCTGAATGCTGAAAACCCACTTTTGAGGTCATCTTTCATGTTTTTTTAACTGTTTTTTTGACTTTTAATCCGATGTCAATTGAGTTTAAGTAATTGCTGGTGTAAGGAAAGCATAAAACACTAGTGTAGTTCATGACACACACGAGAAACCCTGACTATTCATCTGATAATGTTTTCTTCTAGAACTGTCCTTGGAATCTTGTTTTTTTAATGGTTCTGTGTTGATACGGTGGAATAATAACATGTGTATTTCCCAAAAAGGTTGACAAGGTCAGAATATATAGCCCTCTTACCTTCGTACGCTTGTGTCTTCTTGAGAGACAATTTTGACTTGAAATGGAAATTGTATAGCTTAATTACTCTGYCCAGTGYATTCTAGCAAACTGCATGGGGTCAGAAAATTGCATTTCTACTTGACACACCAGAAATTATTCAATCTTTTTACCATATGATGTCCAAATGTGTAAAAAATCGTTGTCTGCTGTTTAAACTCGAGGGTCTACATGTACGTACCTGTGTGACCTGTACCTTAGCTTTTCCGCCAGTTTACTTAAAAAGACAYATCRATTTGCCAGAAGGTACATGAATTTACCACTAGACAAAATAGTGAAAATAAAGTTCTGTGTTTTCAAATACCCTAGTAGATTTATATAGTCGGAGTCGGCTAATTACCTTCTACTTTAATTGCATTTTTTTTCGAATTTTCGAAAATTAAGTGATCCAATGTTACTGAGAGTTTTTCCGCTTGAAATAATCGTTAATCCACTCATCAATTTTCATTTAAAAGGTTTTTCCAATGCCTTGAACTACTTTGACATTTCGCTATTTTTGTTGATTCATTTTAATTAATATTGTTTTGTTTTAGGGTATTGTTTGTTTTAGCGAGGAAGTAACACCATAGATATAGACTATATTATTTATATTATTTATACTGATTTCTCCGGCATTATTTCTCTTCCACCTTTTTTCCCTTTGAAATATACAATTTTTCTAAAGCAAGCGTCTGATAGCGCGAAAGAGGAAGTATCTCCAAAAGAAAATGCAATACAAATAAATAAATAAATAAATAAAAAATTGAACTCTATGAATATTAATATATCTTTTGGTATTTCAATTCACTTATTAATAATAATATCCTTCGAAGCTCAATATTTTTAGTGCTCTTAATTCGGTATCCAAAATTGACAAAAAAAAAACAAAAACAAAAAACAAAAACATTATTTTAACACAGAGAATTCAAATGCAAAATTGCTATAAATCGTTCTTACGTTATTTTGATGTTATTTTCTAAGCTAAATACTACGTATTTATTCCATATTTCCTGCTGTTTCATCAATGAAATTAGGTTCTCAATTTCTATATATATATATATTTATATGATATTTGGACTTTATAAACTCTCCACTATCTATCAAACCAGCAACGAGGGCAACACCTGACGGGCGATCTTACAGATCGACATGAGAGAGCCTTGCCTGCATTGTGTTTAATACCCMAAAAACCATTATGTATACTTATCTAATTTGAATATATTGTCAGGCAAACATTATGTCTATCAAATTTGATAATATTTCCATTCATTTAGATGACAAAAAAAGAATTTTCATTTAGAAGAAAAGATACAACTGTGACTTGTTTATCCCTCAGCTTTATCCTGATCACAATCGTCTGAGTGCTGGCTGATATAGTGTCCGTTATTTATTTTAAAAATAGTAACTTTTAATATTAAATTGTGCAACGAAAATCTATGTCTAGCATCAAGCCTTGCGTTTTCATTTGTTTTTTTTTTAAGTGAAGCCTGCATTTAGGATTACTTGACAAGTATTCTTGGAAGTATTTTCTTTATAGTAATACTATTTTCGAAATAAAAAAAAATCATGTACACTTAAGGGTTTTTTTATGCTCATACTTCAAACATCGATTGTCATCCGTGGCTATTTTCAAGAAAATAATGAAAAAAATACAGATTGCTGTAAAGTAGGTCGCATTTAATTCGGAGATTTGGCAGCACTATTCATAATTAATTCATATCTCAAGAATGGCTCTTTTATTGACGGCGTCACTTCGTCTATTTCTTCTGGGCTAAGCGTCCATTAAATAGTTATTCAATTATTTCGAGTCTCTGAATGCCAAGCGAATGAGAGTATCTTATAAACAACAACAATAACAAAATGAATGAATTTATGAATTTATGAATGAAAAACTTGACGAATGGATGAAAGAACAAATAAGTAAATTGGTGAACAACTGCATGAATGGATGAGCAAATGAATGAATKAACGACCATGTGTGGTATGTATTCATGGCTCAGCTGAAGCAGAAGGTTTTAGAATCTCTTAGGAGCCTTTAGGTCATTGAAAACGCGTTTGACAAACAAACCTCATTACTACTGAACTTTAGAGTTAAAATGATTTAATTCGAGCCGCACTCTCAGGTGCCTTTTATATATCCAAGCATGCTGTGCATTTCGGCGATTATCTATCAAATAACCCCAAAAAATTGTTATAAAGACATTGTTTCAATTTCATATAGAGTAGTTTTTTTCTCGACTGCGATAGATTGCAAGGCTAATAATTTGCCTTAGACTCATCTCATATTTTTCTTGGCTTTTTTTTTTCGTTTACGATTACATACTGCAGTGTGGTCWACAAAAATCACTCTACAAAAATCTCAAAATAAAACTTTAAGCTTTAAGTTGAGTTTAACAAAAATTAATTGTAAATAAATATCTGAAAAATTCATGGCGCGAACAACCAGCGTCTAGAAGAAACGTTATAGCCTACCAGCAGAATCTGTACTAAAAAGGTCTAAAAACGAGAAATGTGTTGCACACCACACGTTGACCAATCAGAGATGTTGGAGGATTGTGATGTTTTTGAATGCTTGCTTGCTTGAATTGATRKTTGATTAATTGATTGCCTGAATTAGCTTATTAGTTGATTGAATGTGGACGGACAAAGAGGCGTACCAGTGGTTTCATGTGATATTAGGAAGTGAGGAAGCCAGTATTCAGGTCCTAATGACGTCAACAAAGCAACGATGGTCGGGAAATTGGCCGGATCTTTTGCCGCTGTRGTTATCTCGACAGAACTTCAATGTTCATTTCCTAAACCTTTATTCAACTAGATTTGATATCAAAAAGTAAAAAAAAAAAWYMAAAAWTWAAA